GGATTAGTAAGCTGAAGTAGCAATGGGCCAGCCTTTGAGCTCGAAGAACCGACAACCGTTGGGGAAAAAAGGTTCTCGAGTTGCAGCCTCGTACTGGTAGGTGAAGTGAATGGCGACCCCCCATAATAGATGCAGTGACAACCTGGTAAGACATGCAGGAAGTCGATGGATGCAGGTGGCTCAGGACCGTGCTTTGTGGCATTCCTTGGGAGAGGCCTATGTTCAGCAGTGGACTTGTGAAGGGCTGTAATGATGATGATGATGAATCAAGACACAAAACAACAAAACATATTTGTTTAGCAAATAAACGTTAGTTTGAATTATACTCTACAAGTGATCGTCAAGAGATTGAAATTCTACTGTAATTCATTAACGGTTTTTAACTAAGCAAGCTCTATTTCACATACAATTGCATATTAAAACACTAGGAAGTAACACACTAATTAGTACTTATTAAAGAATTTTAAATGTTGCCAACAGCCATATATTATACAAAATACATGCTATAAAATATTATAGAATAGAAATAATTTCAAACATTAAAGTTACATTTAAGTTCATTAGCGACAATCTTTACTTTTTATTCTCTGTATATTTATTTACTTTATATTCTGTTTGATCACAGTAAAGTAAAGTTACAGACTATATACGTCCCACTGAGAGGGTTTAGGGCAAGGAAGTGTCCGCCGCGCTGCCCAAATGCGTATTGACGAACTTCACATGTCTTCGAAATATTTTTTTTCTTATTCCTCAGACATGCAGGTTTCCTCAGGATGTTTTCCTTCACCGCCGAGCACGTGGTAAATCAGCACTTAAAATTGCAATTAACAATTTCATTGGTGCCGACGGGGATCGAACCCGGGTTACTCGCGTATATTTACAGCGAGCGTTAACCACTGAGCTACCACGGCTCTTTGATCACAGACTATCATGTTTTTGACATTGGCAGAATGAACGTAAACAAACGACAGACTATATTATGTGTTTAACATTGGCAGTACGATCGTATACAATGAATGTTTCCAGGAGTAGCCATAAATTAGAAAAGAAGAATTAATGTTTTTTTTATTTAATTTAATGTATTTGTAACACATGTAATATTACATAAATTTCAGCACATTCTCCTCCGTTCGCACATTGCAAGGGATACATACAATTTTTTCCCTTCACGTATTAATGTATCTCGTAGACGTTTTTTTTTTTTCGAAAATTACTATATTTGAAACAAAAAGTTGGCAACTAGACAGGTCAATGACAGAAGCGTGACACCCCAATACCAAGGTCAAGAGGTGCTCGTTATCTTTAAAACAGCACCGGTACGTCGCCACGGGACCAGTTTACCGTTACCAAGCAGTGGTGTCACACATCGCGACACTCTCAGACCGGTTTCTGGTGAAACGTCGGCGTAAACAATAATAACAATCAATTCATTGAAAATACAATAAATATTGTGGGAACTTTTGGAGTCATAACATCAGTTTCAAAACTTCGACATGTAAGTTAACATTTATTTTTATTCGCTTTTGTTGACACTTGGTGAAACTTCAGCTTCATTTTTGTGATTTTGATACACACTAGTACGGGTTTCACAATATTTATTTAAATTATTAATTTACTAACTATAAGAACCGATCGGTTTCGCGTCACGGCATCATTAGGGGATATGTATACCCCGATGATGCCGTATCATATCAAATCCTTTAGTCGGTACATTAATAATTTAAAAAAATATAGTGAAACAAGTACAAGTGTGCATCCAAATCTCAAAAATAAGTTAATATTTTTGTAGGATTAGTTTCCGTTGTCTAAAGCTTAGTTCAGACTACGCTATACTAATGTGTTATATAGTGTGAACGTATCCATAAAATAATTGCTTTATAATATTTACCGTATTCTAAATACTTACTTTAACGTAGTCTGAAGTGAGCTCCAAGGTATGTATGTAAGAAATTCACTTGACACCGTTTGATGATATTTTTATAAAATGTATTGGAGAATTTACAATCGCTTCTTCAATTGGCAACCTAACTTCTATATAATTAAACATCATCATCATCATCATCATTACAGCTCTTCACAAATCTCCGTGAACATAAGTTTATTTATTTATTATTAGGTTTCCTCTATGGAATGCCACAGAGTACGATCCTGAGCCACAGAGGCAACAACGACAGAGGAACCCGTCAACAGGCGGTGAGGCATTCCGTCTTAGTCCTCAGAGGTGACAACACATCACACCCTTCTTCAAATTAAACTAATTTAATGAATTTCACCGCATTTATTTTTTCAATTAAACGCGATTATTATCCGGAAAATTAGGTTCATTTAATGTGTAGTGTTCCAGTAAACATTAAAATCATCATTTAGCCTTTTTTGCTTATAGTTAGCTACCACTTACCAGGTGGACTGTAAGTTCGTTTTAGTTCAGTTTTATGGAAAAAAGTCACAGACGGACGGTGGCAGTATCAGACGTCTCGCAACTTTGAAACAGTTAACCAGTGGTGTCCAGTCTAATTATTTTATGTCTTTGCATTATTGACACGGAGGATTTAGTTGAATTTGGGTGTCAGTCGTTAAAACTTACTACCTACTTAAACTTTAATACGTGGTAAAGCCACGCTGCCGCTATATGATGGTTGTAGCACGAATGGTCGGATCGACCGGGATAGGACCATGCTCTCACAGAATACTTGTGTAGAATGGAAACTTAGTGCTGCTGTGTTTCTTATGGTGAATGAAAACGGAGACTTTTATTACTAGAAACGAGGCAGTCCATCATAGTCCTCATGGATGACAACGCATCTGCATTTTGATTCCTATAGATATAGATGTCAATGGGTCACAGCATAACCATCAGGATCTAGATATTTTACTATTATCTATCTGAATCCATGCGATCTTTCTATGTGATCTCTTACCACCATACTCAAAATAATTACTCATATTAAAAAACAAGCAAACGCCAATACGAGATTAAATCTTCTATATCGAAATTTCATTTTGCAAATCTACCGTCCGTCCGACTAAATTGTCAAATTAGATCTAAAACAATGACGATATACGAGTATTTGTGTTTACCTTTTACCTTTGAATTCTATTTTAACAAACCATAGAAAATAAATTCTCAATTCGACTGTATTTTACTTTTTTGTTACGCAATTTCTTAGTCAATTGTGAAGTGAAATTAATCGTTTTATATATAAAATAGGTCAAATTTCAAGAGCTGTTCTAAAGTATACTTTTATAAGAAAAATATCAAAATATACATTGTAAATTATTTGCCATCTAGTGCCATCTAGTAGCGCCATGAGAAAAACCATTATTACTCCATTTAGATCCATGGCGTGAATACCAAGTAATGGAACGAATGTGCTTTATATATCAAAATATTATGCGATCTCCGATTGTTGGTGAATGGCGATATAACAATCTCATATTTATCCCTATCCTACTGCTCTACATCCCGAGTCCAGAATTGGATTATGTACAGACTAAAGATAAAAGTTGCAAATTATTTGATATCCAGTAGCGGCAAAAGAGTACCCTTTACTTCTTAGACCCATGGCGCGCGTGTCATAAAAGTCAACTTTAGGAATATCTATAAATGTTCAATTTTAGATGTTTTAGATATTTTGTGGTTTCTAACTGATGGTGATATAACAACATCGTATTTATCCCAAACCGTTTGTCATGATGTGCTGATTGATGATTTTAGTATTTAGAATTCTCCTGGAAGATCTCAAGTCAAACAGTGAATTATGTACAGACCGATTTGTTTTAAAATCTGAGGTGCCGATGAAAAGTACGCACTTGAAATTATAGATATTTTTACTACTACATACTTAAATGTCTTTGATATTTGCAAATCAACTTCATTATCCGTCTATGACTCACTAAGCATTTATTTATCACGCGAACAAAACATGGTCGACTTTCTGATAGCTTTAACTTTTATATAAGTATTTAATAAAATTATTAATTAATAAAGGCATTTTCATATAACTTGAATTGTTCTTGACAAAAGAACATAAAAATAAACATCAAAGTAACTTAACTAAATATAACTGTATTTTGTATATCTACTCTTTATACGAGTATATAAGCGAAATACCACTGGCTAATCCACTCATCACGAGATCTCCAAAATTATGCGCCTGACCTGATTGACTTGAAATTTGGCATAATATACCTATACTCCTTTCTCGACGTAGACACTACACACTAGGAAAGGATTTTGAAAAACTCAATCCCTGAAGGGGAGATATAGGGAGCTACAGCTTGTGAACAATAATAAAAGTACTTATAAAATACTTTACAGCACACACCAAAACAAATGGATAAGAAATAAACATACAAAAGAACCCATTAAATCAGTTGACAAAGGCAGTCTTGCTAAAAGCGATTTTTTCTTTACCGACTTCAGATGAACTTGCTTAAAACAGAAAACAGAACAAAACTATGACTAAATATCTAAAAATTCATTATACAAATATTAAAGACACAGCCTAACAAGCGGCCATTAAAATACATAAACACTCACGCCTGTCATCCAGAGCGGTAAGCAGAGACTACGGATTTCCATTTTGCATGATCCTGACACAGCTCTCTCCTCGCCTCCTTTACATTCATATAACGTTTACGTGCTGTACTTTTAATATGGCATCTTCTACATAACGCCAATTTAACCGATAAACTTTCGTTTAGGGCGAACGTTTACTGATTCTACTTCAATAAGTTGTTATTAATAATATGTTTGTGTTTGTCGATTCATGAACGTGAACGTGTGCATAACGCCTTATGGACATAATTGTTACATATTTAAAGCACTCATGAGAAGCATGACTACGAATATGCTGCCGACCGACTTATAGGTCAGAATAAACTGATGCCAAGATCGAGATCAACAAGGTCGATATTTTGTTGCAGATACTGAGGCGAAAAACTAAATAACGAGTTATTTATTGTAATAATATTTATATAAGATAGAAAATTCAGGCACAATGAGGTAAGTACTAAATAATTTGTTTTTTTTTTCAGTCTATTTATAATATAAACTGAGCCCGTCAGTCTGTGCACTCAGACGGCTTTTGTTCATATGTGAGGTTTATGCAGAAGCCCACGGTCTAAAATATAATGTTGCGAAGAGTGAGCTCATGGTGTTTAAGGTGGGCACGAAGAAACCAAATTTTGTACCACCTGTAACTTTAGGGGGTGTTGCACTTAAACGAGTAACTGAATTTAAGTACCTAGGCCATGTTGTTACTGAAGATTTAAAAGATGATAAAGACATTGAAAGAGAAAGGAGAGCGCTGGCTGTCCGCTGCAATATGCTGGCCCGTCGGTTCTCACGCTGTACAGCCGAGGTAAAAGTTATTTTATTTAAGGCCTATTGCCAATCCCTCTATACGTGTGCCTTATGGGTCAGATATACGCGGCGGGCATACAACACCCTACATACACAATATAATAACGCTTTTAGATTGTTGCAGGGGCTCCCACGTTACTGTAGTGCATCAGGTATGTTTGTTGACGCCCACGTAGACAATTTTTCAACACTTATTCGCAAAAGAACTGCGTCTCTGATGCACAGGGTTCGTGGGAGCGCCAACAGCATTCTTAACGTAATTAGTGAGAAACCCGAGTGTGCTTTTTTTGAGGCACTGGGTTCATGTCCATGTACCCATTACCTCGGACCGGCACCTCAGGTATATGAACTAATTTATTACCTAATTTTACTTACATATATTTAAGACTTTTTCTTTGTATTTTTAAAAATAATATTGTATTGTATCATTATGGCAAGTTTTGTTGGTGGTTTTGTTAATATATAATTAAATCGGATATGATGTATGTGTAAGGGTGAAATAGATTTATGTTATTTTATTATTATTAAATTATTATTTTATTTTCGATATTATTATAAATACTTACGCATTTGATATAATTAATATTAGTAATGATTTATAATTTTAGTATTAGAATAAATGTTAATGTATGTTATTTTACCCTATGATCCTTGTTGATTGAAATAAATTAATAAATAAAAAATAAATATAATATTTTTAGTACTATTTATGTCAACGTAGTACTATTTTTTTATAAGAACTAAATGTGACAAATTAGCACACAGTCCACTTAATGGTGAGTGAATGCTGTGGCCCATAAACATCTACATTTATCCTCGATTAAGAATAAAATTACAGATTCGTGGTCATACCTAGATGGAATGCCTCGTTTCCAGTTAAAAGGGTGGTCTGTTCTCTACACTCCCCAAAGGAAACACATATATTAACCGACGCGCGACGCCTTCGTGCTACAACCGTAATATGACTGCAGCGTGGCTCTACCACGTATAAAACTACTAAGAGGCAGATTACCTTTTCTGCCTTCTGTAGGTTCGTACCTTCTCTCTTACCTATTTCTGTCGACATTGAGCTGTGAGCATAATTACAGGCTTGGAGACATTACATTTTGGTCCTTACAGTCACAACGCATCTGTTTTCAGCCTTCTTTGTTTGAATTTGATTACAAGTATCCCTTGGGCAGCAGTAACCATGTAACCTGGTGTTGCGGTTGATCATGGGCGGCGGTACTCACTTACCATCAGGTGAGCCACATGCTCGTTTGCCCCCTCTTCCATAAAATAAAACCATCAAATGTACTGTATGTTTTTATTACATACATATATAAGAAAAATTGACAGTATTTCCTTTTATTTATAAAAAACAAGATAATATATAATATATACATAATACCTACATAAATCGTAATAATTGTCTTATTATTACTATTTCTGTGATAATACCGAATTTTATGAATAATATTTGATAGTATAGGTTATATCCGGTTAATATGGTTATATGGTCACTTTCTTATAACTCAAAAACTACACCTACAGCCTTATTTGCATAGATGACTGTGTGATACGATAACTTTTCATCGGTCAATCAAATAATAAAGGGTCTAAGGAACGCTGCTTTATCGACGCTATTTTGACAATTATATTATAATAATAAATAATTTATGTTTGTTGGGTGTTTTTTTTTTTTTTTTTTTTTTTGTCGATTTTAGTATGGTGTAGTGTAGTTAGTTTTTTTTTTTTGGGGGGGTGGGTTTTTCCTTGTTTTTTTTTTTTTATTTAAGTTGATTTTTCGAAGTGTTCCTAATATTGCCGAAGCTTGTTTTTTTTCCTAATATATTATTTATAGTATACGACTTTGTGTTTTGGTCTCCGTCCTACTCTTAGTTTTGGTTTTATAGGTCGAAAAAGACCATATTACTCTCACGTACCTACCTTATAGATGGTAACATTTCATTTTTATTTCTCATATTGGTATACCTATACTATTAAATATATTTGTGTATTTCTTGTGTATAAATATGAAATTTTGTGTATATGATTAAGTATTGATTCGAGAATGGTTATGATTCACAATCGGACCCTGTAGGTGGCGCTGTTGTCGAGATCCAGATATCACCCGTGCGAAACCGGGGTGGATTGCTAATTATAAATAAAGATAGTATAAAGACAGGGTTGACTGGTAGAGAATACCGTAAGGCATTAAGTTCGCGCTTTATAAAATAAATAAATAAATAGTAGGACCGTGCGAGAATATCTACTACTCCATATCATCTCGTGGGTGTCGTTAGCGGCGGCAGATGGAAACTGAGAAATGAGAATGAGAGAGACGGAAACTGAAACAAGAGACGGGCAGTACCGTCATCCTAGTAACAGCCACTGTGACAAATAGGTGTACGAGGGTAGAATAGAATAGAATAGAATAATTTTTATTCAATATAGATTACATGTTGTAATTCTTATTGAAAGACATTTTTACTTTACCACTGGTTCAAAAAAAACCTCTGTCCTGGAAAGAACCAGCGAGAAACCCAGCGGGAAATATACGGGATACTTTGATAGGGTGCAATAAATTAATAATATGTTGGCATAACTTTTCTTAACAGGCTGCAGATCTCAATCGCTTTTATCTTAGCAACAAGTTTAAGCTTCATAAGCTGCGTATCGTTAAAAGGTGCGTATTTAACGTGATAATTTTTAAGCATGTTGTTAATTACTAACGAGTACCGACCAGCCCGGCTTGACCTTGGTGGTATCGATTAATATAGTTTCATTTACATTTTTCAAAATAAGGTTTTACGTGGTAGAGCCACGCTGCAGCCATATTATGGTTGTAGCACGAATAGGTCGGCTGGAGCGGGGAAGGACCACGCTCTCACAAAACACCAGCGTAAAATAGCAGCTCAATGAGAGCATCGGAGATCCTTTTTACTGGAAACGAGGCATTTCATCTTAGTCCACAGGGGTGAAAACGCATCTGCATGTTAAATATTTTAATCGAGGATAGACGTAGATGTCTATGAGCCACAGCATCCACCTACAATAAGGTGGTCTGTGTGCTCGTTTGTCACCCTTATTCTATAAAAAATATCGTCAGTTTAAATTACCATTTTTTTTTAATTTTTTTACGTGGTTGACCCACGCTGCAGCTATATTGTAGTTATAGCACGAATGGGTCGGCCGGGGCAAGACCACTCTCTCACAGAATATCAGGCGAAGGGAACCGGAGACCTTTTTTACTGGAATCGAGACATTCCTTCTTGGTCCACAGGAGTGACAACGCATTTGCATCTTGATTCTTATTTGAGGATAAATGTCTACGGGCCACAGCATCCATTCACCATTAAACGGACCGTGTGCAGATAAAATATAGCTTAAACAGTCATGACATTGCTCTCCATCTGGTCGTGAAGTTACTTTGCAGTTGGTTCAGCCACTCCGAACATTATCCCGGACAGACAGACAGACATTTTAAAAATGGTTATCCATGTCCAAGTGGAATACAAAACTATGCTTCGTTGGTCTAGTGATTGTAGTAGTACGACTGCTGATCATGAGGTCCTGGGTTCGAATCCCGGGTCGGGCCAAAAAATCAATTATTGAGTTTTTGTCAAGAAATTCTCAGTAGCTGCCCGGAGTCAGAAAGTTGGCGGTGTCTCACACCCGTGCCTTGGAAAGCTTGTAAAGCCGTTGGTCCTGCACCTGATCACTCTTTGGTCGTGTCGGTTTACCGTCCCATCGGATTATGAGAGTGAGGGAATAAAGAGCGTACTTGTGCTTGCGCATACGCTTGGGCACTATTGGGCACTTATTATTATTTTATTATATTTCAGACAGGTATACTTATTTTAATTTTATTAGTATGCAAATAGATCAATTTCACTCGCATATATATATATATATATATATATATATATATATATATATATATATATATATATATATATATATATATTCTAAATAATTTTAGGTTATGTAAGAAATACAGAAATGGGAACAGCATACAAATTATTCTACCGCTCCCAGCCGTGGGCAGTAGCCAAAGAAATATGTGAAGCAGAAGGAGCGAAGCTGGCCGTACCCAGGTCTGAGGTAAGTGGACAAATATATCCATCCATCGGGCCTCCCTCATAGATTGTCCCATGGGGGGATGTTGCTATAGTTATCACGCTTGGCAAACGAGTTAGCAACCGTGGTTTTTTTTACTATTTAGCGCTATCAGAAAGATCCTGCTTCCCGTTTCCTATTTCCTATTTCCACTGTATGGGATTTTGATGTCAATAAATTCTCAGTAGCCGCCGGGGTTAGGAAGTTAGCGGTGTGTTCACCCCCGTGCCTAAGAAAGCGCGCAGAACAGTCTGTCCTGCGCCTGATCTCTCTCCGGTCGTGTCGGATTACCGTCCCATCGGACTACGAGAGTGAGAGAATAGAGAGTGCACCTGTGCTTGCAAATACACTTGGGCACTATAACCTTGTTCTGCGCAGATGGCTGGCCTCTGTTAAGACCCGGCGGTAATAACAGATTCCCTTCACCGAGAAAGTAATTCACTCATAACATTACAGGAAGAGTTCCTGTTCATCCAGAAACTGGTGCGCGGTATGCACTACCCTGCAATAACCAACACTTCAAATAAACTGGTTGTATGGCTGGGCATCAGCAATGTGGACAACTACAAGATCTGGACCAATGTTGATGGTAACATTCTTGTTTTTATAGAATTTAAGTTTTTTTATAGTTTTATAAAAGTGAAAAAGGGCACACAGTTCACCTGATCTTAAGTGGATGCTGTGATTAAGTATCAAACCACAGATGCATCGGCACCCTTGAGGACTAAGATGAAATGCCTTGTTTTCATTAAGAAGGGTCTCCGGATCTCTACACTCACCATACGAAACACAGCAGTATTAAGCTACTATTTTATGCTGGTATTATGTAAGAGCGTGGTCCTTTCACGGCCGAGCTGACCCACAACCTTAATATAGCTCCTGCATGTCTAACCAATATAGAATATAATTATGTATTTAGTGCGTTAATGATAATTTTCTTAATAACAGCACCAATGATTTTATTTCTATCTTTTCATAGTAGAGATAACGATCTAATTTAATGATTTTTTTTATATTTAAACGAATGCTACATATGGAATAAAACTAATTATACGATGTTATTATATGATGTTTCGGGCATGGGGGGGAGACTGATTAAAGTCGAATATCAATATTTAAAAGTTAACTATAACGTCGGGACGTCAACCAACTCAGTCCCTCCCGTGACCATAGGCGCTGGAAGTGTCGGAAATTAAAAAAGTTAAAATTGAACACGATAAAATGCTTAAAATTAGTTTTACTCCAGACCTATTTTAATTTTTAATTTAATATTGTAAATAAGTAGACGGCTTTCGTGTATAGATAATGTATAGAAGTATTACGCCTTGGTTATGGAAATATACTTTTTTTAGTTCTTTGAAATTGGATTTTACTTTTTTGACTATTTAGAACGAACTACGGGATTACAAACGCTCGAATTTCGTTTAAATAGTTACATTGAAAACTTAATCGTGTATTTTTTCATTTTCGTTAGGAAGGAGTTTTTCTCCAAATTTAAAAAAGAATAATTAAAGTGGATTAAAGAAGGTCCACAATTGACGAAGATATCTTATACCATACATACAAAACAAGCTTAATAGTTAAAACATTAATCAAAAAAACCTTGACTGCGTAAAAGACTTTATTGAAAAGTTAATAATAACTTTTCACATTAAGAAGACCTTAAGAGTTTAAGATTACAGATTTTGAAAATTTCACTGAGAATGTTTGCTAACCAACTTTAAATCGTTATACATCCTAAATGGATTTTAAAAGGAAAAAGGATTAGAGAAACCTAAAGCTGATTTTCAAAGACCTATTCAACGATAACTTGTTATAGTTCGTCGACTTTCTTTGTTTTATTTCTCACAATTTGGAGTCTGGTTGTCGCCATATTGAATTTTGATTACTGTCATATCTGTAGTGACATTTGCAAGATTAAGACAAATCGATTGACATAAGAATCATTAATATCGGCCCACGCGTTTGGTCTCTAGAGCGCCACAATGAACAAACATACATATTATATAAGCTGATAAACATATTACCCTCATTTGCATCGTGCAATCAGGTAAAAGAGGACATACACTCAAATTCATATCCTCCTCTTTTTTTTTAAATCAGTTAAAAAATAATGCATGTTATATTCCATAACAACAGAACGAACTCTAATAGCACTCTGCACTTAACCAGCTCTTAACCATCAGTGTAATTTTAGCCTTCGTAATAACTTTAGCAGTAAAATTTAAGCAAGCAAAGCAGGGAGTTTAATATCTTACTGTCTGCAATAAGATATAAAACGCAGCCATACTAGAGTGGTTAAATAATTAGCCTATGAAACCGTGATAGCAGAGTGAGTAGGTGTTAAATTTCACAGTACGCGAGCTTTTTTAAAGAACAAGGGTGAAAACGAGCACAAAGTCCACCTGAAGGCAAGTCTATGTTGTGGCCATTGACATCTACATCTATTCTAAATTAACAATCAAAATGCAGATGTGTTGTCACCCCTGAGCACTAAGAGGGAATGCCTGGTAAAAAAGGTCTCTGATTGACACTCACCACACTATTATGAAGCAGTTTGACGCTGGTAGTCTGTGAGAGCGTGGTCCTTCCCCGGCCGAGCTGACCCAATTGTGCTACAAATATAATATAGCTGCAGCATAGCTCTACCACGTGTAAGTTCGATCCTCTTTCAGTCTTTAAAATTGTTATTTCAAGTGGTTATACTGAAATTTTGGATGGCACAATATATTCCAACATATGATATGTTAATGATTTCATATATTTACGCGAATACTACACATTTAATAAAACTGATTTTACGTATTTCGTCGCGTTTAATTTTGAACATTTGTCAACATTCTCCTCTTCCCCGCGTATAAAATCCGTAAAGTTAGTTTTATTCAATAAGTTAACAAACTCAAAATTGAAGTTGTAAAGTCAAAGTTGTAGCTTATACTTGTCCCACGGATGGGCACAGGCCTCCTCTTATTGTCAGAGAAGTTTATGGAGACATTACATGTACTTAAAATATTTTTACTCCTCAGACATGTAGGTTTCCTCACGATGTTTTCCTTCATAACCGGAATTGTTTTTTTTTATAGAATAAGGGTGACAAATGAGTACATAGTCCACCTGATGGTAAATGGCCCATAGGCATCTACATTTGACCTTAATTAAGAATCAAAATGCAGATGCGCCTCTCCGGATCTCTACATCCACCATACGAAACACAGCAGCATTGAGCTGGTATTTTACGCTGGTATTCTGTGAGAGCGTGGTCCTTCCACGGTCGAGTCAACCCATTCATGAACATAACATAACATAACATAAACACTCACGCCTGTCACCCAGAGGGGTAGGCAGAGACTACAGACTTCCATTTGGCACGATCCTGACACACCTCTCTTGACTCCTTCACATCCATACACCTACGCATACATGCTCGTCGGTTAAGGGTACTCCTAATTTGGCCCGTTTTCAATAAATCGCCAATTTGGTCGATAAATTTTCGCCTAGGACGTCCCTTTCTGACTCTGCCATTCACATCTGCACCATAAACTTTCTTTGTCACTCTTTCCTCATTCATTCTTTCCACATGACCAAACCACCGAAGCATTCCTTTCTTAATCCTGGTCACAACATCATCTTGCAAACCACACTCTTCTCTTATTACACAATTTCTTACCCTGTCATTCAGATTCAGCCCTAACATACTCCTTAACGACCACATTTCTACTGCGTTTATTCTACTCTCGTGCTTCTTCTGCCACACCCAACTTTCACTACCATACGTTAAAGTAGGGACCAACACAGCATTGTGAATTGCCATACGTGCCTTTTTCGACACATTTTGACTCTTCACAATAGAGTGCAAGGCCCCATTTACTCTATTTCCCGCATTCACTCGTCGTTCTATATCCTTATCATATCTCCCATCCCTGCTAAATACGCAGCCCAAATATACAAACTCATCTACTTGCTCGATCAACTCCCCTTCTATTCTTATTTCACAAATCGTTTTACTTTCTTCTCTTTCAAAAACCATAACCTTCGTCTTACTTGCGTTCACTTTCGTTCGTTCGTTCGTTCTTCAACTTTCAAATTTTGCAAACAACTGTCCATAAATAGGTTGAACAGCCACGGGGAAGCCACACAGCCCTGTCTGACACCTTTATGGATGTCAAACCAGTCCGAGTAGACCCCGTTGATGCTAACACAAGCACTAGAGTCCCTATAAAGAGACTCCAATGCCTGTATCAAGCCAGCGCTCAACCCAAATGAGTTCAGTGTTTGCCATAGCAAATCCCTATCTACTCTGTCATAGGCCTTTTCCAAGTCCATGAACGCACAAAAAACCTTTTGGTTTTTGGCCAGAAACTTCTCCGCGATCATGCGCATGGAAAAGACTTGATTTATACATCCCATTCCCTTTCTAAATCCCGCTTGCACATCCCAAATTTTTCCATCAGTTTCTTTCACGACCCTTTCAATCAGTACCTTAACATACAGTTTTCCCACAATGCTAAGAAGGCTGATGCCACGGTAGTTTTTACAGTCCTGCTGCGACCCTCTCCCTTTATATACTGGGACTATCACGGCTTTACACCAGTCTACCGGTACCCGCTTCAGTTGCCAGCATAAATTAAACAAGGTGTGCAGCAGGCCTGCCACCACTTCCTCTCCAGCCCTTAGCATTTCGAGTGAAACTCTATCATATCCGGCAGCCTTACCTGCTTTCATGCTTTTCATTGCTTTCATTATTTCATCTATACTTATCTCGCTACCTCTTTCCTCTTCTTTCGGTGTTTCTACTTCCCTTAGTACACACGTTGTCTCCTCACTAATAAACACGCTTTCAAAATATTCCTTCCATCTCTTTAAACTCAAAACTTCATCATTCAGAATATAGCCACTCTCGTCTCTTATAGCATTCATCATAGGCTGTTTTGAATGTCCCCTGGCAGTTCTTACAAGTTTCCAGAACATTTTAATATTTGCCTGGATGTTATCCGATATTCTTCTATCATTCTTATCCGTTCTTTCTTGCTTTTTTCTTTCAACTACTTCTTTTACTCTCTTATTAAGATGTCTAAAGACTGCCTTTTTTCTTTCAATATCACCATTCGTACCACTAGAATTAGCAGCCTTTGTTGCTAGTAAATCTAGCCATGCTCTCTTCTTTGCTTCAACTTCCATACGTATATCATCATCCCACCATAACGTATTATTTTTCCTTTCATTCTTTCTCTTACTAACACCACATACTTCGGTAGCTGCATCCACTAAACCTTTCGTTACATTTTGCCATGTATTCTCCAAGTCTAACTCCTTCATACATAATTCATCCAAACCACTTATATTTTCTTTCAGTCTTCTTTTCTTCATCATTTGAACTTGTTTTTATCACTTTCATCTTGTAACCTTTCTGTTCTAATACGCTGTAACGCAGTGGTAGACACAGATGATCGATGGCGACAACGCCTGAATAGACCGTTAATTCGGCATAAAACTAAATAATGATCCGTTTCTACGTTAGAACCCCGGTAAACTCTCGTATCTACCACTACGCCCCTCAATCTTTCATCCACAATTATGAAATCTATCATGCTTCTATCGTCACCTCTTTCCCAAGTATACATGTGAATCCTCTTGTGGCGAAAGCAAGTGTTCGTCACAAAAAAGATTCTTTTTTATACATACGGTGAGGAGAATTTCACCATTCTCATTTATACTTTCATCACCAAACGTTCCCAATATCCTTTCATAACCAAGCCTCCTGACCCCAACCCTTCTATTAAAATCTCCAACCCATTCATGCTACAATCATAATATAGCTGCAGCGTGGATCTACCACGTATAAACATAGAAGGCTACCTACATTGTCACTTCCAAGGGCTAACGTCGAAGGCCTCACAGTAGATAATTATACTGGTATATACTATTTTAAATACAGTAATGCAAGCACTGATGGTCCGAAGCGGGTAGGAGGGTACCGACTCTAATTTCCTTGAACTATTTTTGTTCTGTGCTATCTGTGCTTGCACAGTGCATGCTCAAAGGCAGAAAAGTATTCGTAACTACGAGTAAAGCTTGGTGGCGGCGAGGATCGAACTTGATTTTCTCGCGGAAAAATAACGCTGCTTATATACTCTATAAAAACATTTAAAAAAATTGACAATTTATTTATATATTTACAAGAAGTTTACTTCCTCGCACAACTTCGCGATTTTTCTGAACCGATACGACTTAAGGAGGTTATTAGGTACGATCTTCTACAAACGAGCCTTCTCATCCTTCAAAGATCTTTAAAAAAAGAGCCGTACAGTCTTTTAAAAGGCCGGCAACGCATCTGCCGTTCCCCTGGTGTTGCAGTTGTTTTTCTGCGGCGGTAGACACTCGCAATCAGGTGCGCCGCGTGCTCGTTTGCCAAAAAATATTAAAATAATATTTCTAAATGTCAGCGATTTAGGTAATTCTGACGTTGGCGGCATCGCACATTAAAAATTAGGGCATATAAAAAGTCCCTTAGCAGCCACGTTACTATTACATAGCACAGCAAAGTTGAAAAAGTATTATAATCTTAAACAAATTATTTTATACATTTAGGGCTCATACATCCTTGCTTTCCATTAAAAGAAGATTTAGACAACGAAAGGACATTTCCTTAAATTGTTCTGCGTCGTAAATTATTGTGTTACATTAGTGATTGTAATTTCTTTTTTTTTAATTTCTTGTTGGGTTTATGGGTTCTACCTACAACAGGGATATTCTCCGAACCAGTAGTAAATTTCGAAACGAATTTTCAATAACTATTATTTATAATTTATTTTGAATAATAGAAATCTATTTTCTTTTAAGAAGCAAATTATTTCTGTAATTTTAAGCGTGCGAGCTAACTACCACAGTGAATACTAAGCCTTGTTGCAACCCATCAACTGGGAAGTAATATGCAGCAATACAGTCTCCGAATTGTTATCGTGACTCCTCGTTATGCAGAACTGTAAAGCTGTAACAGTCAAGAATTCAGCAGTAAAACACCGGGTGTGCTATTTAGTTCGGAACGAGCTATAAACAGCGAGGCACTCGGAGTTCCACTAGCCAGCCATTATACGGGAGTGCTAAGTAAACGTCAGACAAACAAATGGGCTTAGGGTTGTTAAAACCGTAAAGACCGGTAGCACTAGCGTCTTTAGGATGAACGTAGGATAGAGGTGAGGTACTAGAGCACTACTAGTGATTTGTGTCTTACATTAAGTAGAGAAAATAGCTGCAGTTTACATTGTGTAACTCGCGGCGTAAACGTTTGTTGGTGGAAATCAATTGGTAACTACGTCATTTTTTCAATTACATATTCTCCCCTAGATTTTTTTCAGGGGGGGGAGGATATTTGATATAGTTGCCACGCTTGTAAGACGTGATGGCAACTTCAGTTTTTTATTACTTTGTGTTGTTACAAGAGATGCTGCGCCCATCTCCTAGTTTATTTTTCTCTGTCGCGTCTTACAACACCCACGGGACGACATGAGGTAGTGAGCATTCCTACTCCGGCCTTTTTAAAATAATAATAAAAAATACGGTCTCGTGGACCGGAAACTGCCGTATTACAAGTACTTGCCGGAAGCCGTGCTCGAAAATGACCGCGCCAGGCTCTACTGGGACCGGGCCATCATCACAGACAGGACTATTCTTGCGAATAAGCCTGATGTTGTGCTGAGGGACCGGGCACAGTCAAGGATATTTTTGGTCGACATTACCATTCCGTATGACGAGAACCTCGTGAAAGCCGAAATAGATAAACGAACAAAATATCTGGACCTGGCTCACGAGGTGACTGATATGTGGGGTGGGCTGTCGACCGAAATTATACCTGTAGTTGTTTCTGCAAACGGGCTAATCCCAGTCCGCCTCTCGGGTCATCTGAAGCAACTGGGACTCCGTGACGGACTGCTCCGGGCTCAAATGCAGAAGGTGGCGGTGCTCCTCGATACTACCCGCATTGTCCGCCTGTTTCTTTCCCTTTCCCCCTAACCCTCGACTGTTTGGTCTTCCTTGCCGAGGGCTTCCATCTGGTTGGGCTTTTATTTATTTATGTATTTTATGTATTTATTTTATTTTATTGTTATGTATATACATTTATCATTTTCGTTCGCAATTATATATTTATGGAACCCAACCAGATTAGAAAACTATAACTACTGCCCTGATAATAATTCAAATTTATTTAAAATTAAATTTAATGAACAAAGAATTAATATACAATTCATAGATACCCTGATTCCTAAACTAGGTTACCCTGTATGTTAGGAGGCAGTTTCCCTCCCATTCAGTTATCTTACATTCCGTGCACAATGCAGATTCTAAACACAGTTCAAGAAAAAAAAATGTGTGTGTGTGTTTGCCAATTTAAAATAGTTTTTGCAAACTTAATCTATATTAACTTGCTATATTCGTACATCTTTCGGCGTTAAAATGTATACTCAATTTTTAAAAGCACTTGCAGACATCCAACTGAGTTGTTCAGCATACTTACCTAACTCCTATATTAATGCAATAATATGGTACAATGGGGCTGATAGACCGAGATGCTGGCTCTAGAAATCCCTCTAAAAGCTTGTTTCTAAATAAAATTTTAATCAAAGATTGAAGTTCTACTAGTAGAAGACTACTACTAGAAGATTAGTCTTCTAGTAGTAGTCTTCTAGAAATTAATATAACTAAGAATAGATAGATAGGTTATACAAATCCGTTAATGAAAATAAATTTCCCTTGAAAATATTAATCGTGTAAAACTTTTTTTTTCAGGTAAAGACATCAGAGATACCGGCTTTGCTAGATGGTCAGGAATGAACGGCCAGATTAGGTACGTACATACCGTTTGTTTTTTATAAAGCTGCTGTAACAATCGGACATACAGCCTACCGGACGGTTCATGTTTACTTCACGGACGACTGCTGCCAACTTTAGACAAGGAAGGCTACTACAGATGCGGTGTCACCACCGAGGACTTCGATGGAATGTCTCACAGCCTATCATGGAGGGTTTACGGCCAGTGTACTTATTTGCCTAAATCGTATTACTGTATGGCGTTTACACGCATTGACATGCGCGACTTCGGTCGATGTTTGTGCTTACGCAATACCAAGGGGCCAAGCCCTCTTTTACTGGTTCGCCAGTTATTTTGCTGTGGACTACGGTCCAGTTCCCGATTTAGCGTTCCCTTCGGAGGGGGCGCATCAAAATGGTTGGCGCTCACCGCGCACGGGTGATACTGGATCTCTATACACTTTAGACAGGAACAGCAATGCACTGCAAAGGAAATCTACCCTCGGATTTCTAGACAGAAAATTAATCCTATCACCCAGCCATCTTTGTTTGCATTTTATTGCTAAAGTCCATTGGGCCAGTTACCATCAGATGGAATGTTGGTTCACTATTTACTTTTTTTTTAATATAGGATAAGGGTGACAAACGAGCACACAGTCCATCTGATGGTAAGTGGATGCTGTGGCCCATAGACATCTACATTTAAACTCGATTAAGAAACAAAATGCAGATGCGTTGTCACCTTGAGGACTTAGATGGAATGCCTCGATTCCAGTAAAACGGGTCTCCGGTTCTCTACACTCACTATACGAAACGCGGCAGTATTAAGATGCTATTTTACGATAGTAGCCTGTGAGAGCGTGGTCCTTCCCCGGTCGAGCCGACCCATTAATGCTACAAATATAATATAGCTGCAGCTATGTTCAAGTCGCTTACTCGTCGGGAAATTAGGTTAAATACAATTATTAAATTTGACCCGAACAAACTTACACGAAAGCGAGTTAAAGAGAAACCTTTTATATGAAGTGTTTTACATGATTTAAATAGTTTAATTTTTTACAGCGCATCTCCTAAAGAGCCGCACTGTGTAGTTTTGGACGCTGTCAACCCAGGACTCCGGGACTGGTGGTGTCACCGCAACCAGCCATTCATCTGCAAAGTGGACCTAGAAACCTCCTCTCACACACAGACTGACTGAGAAAATATTTGAATCATTTAGTATTAAGTTATATATTTGCAAATAGTAAGATGTAATGTACACTAAGACTAACAAATGTTGTTGACATTTACGTAAGTACTTATTTTTTGATGTATTTAAATTATTAATAAAAAATGTTTAGTTACATTTTATATGAAACACCAATTGTTTTTTTCTTTTTTAATCCCTGTTAACACACTTAGTCTTGGGTTTGGACTAGAGCCTAAAACCCTTTTTAAAATACAATGCAATACAATAACTTTAATTCGGGATCAAGGTCTTAAAAATTAAGAACATTAGGCTTAACTTAAAAATATACATAAAACATAAAAATAATATTTAGGGAACATAATTCTCTGGCGCGTCTCTTATTGTAGATACACACCCCAGAGGGCCAGAAATCGGGAGCAAGGAACCTGGAGTACGTAGTATTTGAAATTCGTTGACGTTTTAGAATTCAGACGCTGCAAATGTAAAAAAATCAGATCCTTTATGCGGCATCGGCATCGTTCTTATACGAAACGCAGAACGTCTTCTCCCGACGTACTTTTGTCCAAACGGGATATGTAGACTTGTACTTGCGTTTATTTTGGGGGTCCCAGCTTGTTAACAGACGAGACGGGTCTTGCCCGACGACTCTTCTCAACAAGAATAACCTGTCATTATCGATGTTGTTTCGGGTCACCACAGAAACTGATTTTATATCCGTATTCTTTCGTTTTCGATTACATTAAGAGGGTGCCGAACGTGAAGATCTTCGCGCCACATCCACAAACGTCCTTCCCTGTCGTGACGTTGGCTTTGGCGGAGGAGCACTCACGTGTCAAGAGTGCTGAGGCGGTGATGCAACTACTCGCCCTAGTTTCACCGTCACAAACTGCTAACAGACTGTATCGAGTATCGGAGTCGTAATCATCGGTGAAATAACATGACTACTATTACCGCGTGTCATATCTATATTCTGAGACGGCGGCGGTGAATTCGCAGATGTTACAGTATATATATATATATATTAGATGGAGCTAAAGAAGTTTTACTTCAGTCGTGTGGTCATAAGCACACACGTTTTAATAGAACTATTTAAACGACAGTGAGATTGTGATATTCCATAGTGGTGCGCTCTCAAAGGAGAAAATATTACTTTTACTTTTAATAAAATGTTAAAGCAGACTTTAAAGAACTGAAATGAATAAAATAATTTCACATTCTGAAGTTCATGGCTTTAATTGTACTATACAGTATATCTTAGCGTACTTAGCAGTTTTTTAACTTCCCGCTATGAAAATCAATGATTTTCAAAAAATCGGAAAATAATTGGTTTCATCCCAGTTTTCGGAAATCGAGATTTCATCTAGAATTTCAAACGAGCTTTTGAGGTCCTAGGAGGATGTCACTATGTCTGTATGTGTGTATACCTCTCATAACTTTTGAACGGCTTGACCGATTTGAACGAAACGAAACTTAGATTTTCAATACTGTTTCAAACGGTTTGGACTGTTATATTTTGAGGAATCTTAATAGTAAAAATTTAATAAATTTTTAAATAGTTTTTTTTTAACAAAACTTTTGAATTTATTGTTTAACCTTTTTTATAATAGTTATATTACTGTTTTTAAAAGTTTATTAGTTAGCGACAAAAATGGTTGCCATTTTGAATTGTAATTGTTTATGAATATGGCTGTCATTAAAGACGACTCGATTCGAATTATTTAAAATGAGCCGTAACTTTTAAACAAAATCAAACAATGGGCGTAGAGAACGTAATAAAACCAAATCGTTCAAGTGCTCGAAAGTTTAATAAAACGATAATGGGCCCAGATATTAAATGGCTGCTTCCCAACACGCGGAGATTATGTAAAAAATCCAATATAAATGTTAAAGCTCGACACTCGGGCGTCGGGCGACTCAATAAAACTTTGAGGAGTTCCACAAGAAGTTTTAATTCAATAATAATGTATTACCTACGTAGGCACTTATACCTTATAAATAATGTAGGAGCTCAAAAAACTTAAATAACACACATTGATCATGAGTTGTGATGATGCTGATCAGGATATTAAGTGATTGATTTTGATTTTGGCGAGCAACCCGGGTACAATCTCCGCACAGCACCAATGAAATTGTTAATTGTAATTTTAATGTTGTTCTACCACGTGCTAGGCAGTATAGGAAAACATCGCGAGGAACTAAAAATAATAAAAGGAAATAATAGAAATATTTCGAAGACATGGGAATTCCATACACGCATTGAGGCAGTGCAGCGGACAATTCCTTATCCTAAAACCCTCTCAGAAGCAAGAATAGGCCTGTGTTCAACAGTGGGACGTATATAGGATGTAACTTTTGTTGGTCTTTCACGAGTACAAATTTTCAAGTCTATAAGCCTTCTACAAGTCGGTGAAAATTACATTAAAAAATTTCGTTACATAGATAGATAGATACACGTGAAGCTAATAATAGCATGTTTCGAAAAGTAAAGTTAGGTAATTAAACGTTAGTTTAAACTTAAAGTAAAGTTTAAACTCCGTGTAGTGGCATATCGTACCGAGGGTGTAGTAAGAAGCGACAGAGGGCAATTGAACCAGGAGATGGGCAGCATGTTCCTGATAACTCAAAATAAATAAAAAATTGCCAACCCGCTTGCTAAGCGTGGCAAACATGGCAAAATCTTCCCATGAAGCAACCTATGGGGGAAGTCTTTGTTCAGCAGTGGTTTTTGGACTGTAATGGAAACAGACCCCGAAAAATTATTTGAGGGCCAAAAAATACTTTCTCCGTACGGCATTCGAGCGCACAACCCTCAGCGTCGCAACTCATAGCTGAGTCACTGCTCACTGTGCTATGGGGTTGTCAATTGGGTAACAATTACTTAATTATTGTGAAATCTCAAAGTCCAATAAAAGGTTGAAAGTAGAATAACGATTAATTAAGGATGTTTTAATTTTGATAACTTCATGCACATCGACCGACGACGCCTTGATGACCGACTACCGACTAAAGTGACGTTATAGTCCCACAGCTGGACACTGATATCGAGCCACAGGTCCAGGGTTCGAATCACAAATTTTGTGTAAAACAAAGAAGTATGGTTTATTGCAGGTTTACTCATGACGTTTTACTTCACCATCAAGCAGGTGGTGCTAGTATTAGTATTTTTAGTTTTTATTATTAAAAACCACCTAGTAAACATGATATTTTCGACTGAATTTTTTATGTGTGTTACCTCAGAACTTTTTTCTAGGTGAACCGATTTCGATGATTCTACTTTTATTTGAAAGTTGGTGCTTCTCATGTGGTCTCATATAAATTTGATCGAGATCTGAACAGTAGTTTTGATTTATCTTTAACAATGCGTATTTAAATGACTTTGACTACATTGATGATGTTCTCATTTCATTTATGTTGAAATCGGTTGTACAACATTTTTAATTTTACCACTTCTGTTACTGGTGCTTCTATAAAATATTACGCTTTCTTTATGCGATTTCGTCTCGAACTTTCGGTGTTGTCTCACCATATTCACATATTTTCAAGCAAAGACTTTTACGACACTAACACATTGCACACTAATTTGAAGTCGATTCTCCGTAACTTCTTAAATAGACTGCGAGCGGGCGAGAAGACTAGTTCTTTGTTTTGTTAAGGGCGAACGTTGTTTTTGACAATCCAACACTGATTTTGTTTACTATGTGAGTGATAATTTCATCCAAACCGATTTTCAGTCATGGCGGCAAGTCTCATCGGAGACTAGCTATTTGTGCAGGACTGGATTATAGTACACAAGTTTGTGCGCAAATTATAGGTGGACCTTCTATCTTCACACTCTCATAATCCGATGAGACGAGAATTTAACATGACCTGAGAGGGATGAGGCGCACGACCAACGACTTTACGTGCTTTCCGATGACCAGGGATGAAACACCGCTAACTTTCTGACTCCCAGCTGCTAATAAATGCTTCTTGACACAATTACTCAAAGTCAAAGTACCAAAGGCTCAACCCAGGTTTCAAACGCGGCACCACATAATGAGCAGATGTTCTTACGAGCATTAGACCAACAAGGCACCATACATGGGTAATAGTATGTACCATACTGTACTTTGAATTTTTAGCAGTTTGTATCATTTTTAACGGATGGTGCATGTGAGATAGAAAGCAAAAATATAATTTGTAATTAGAATTATTACTGGAATTAATAAAAATTATTCGAATGGCTCCTGGGTACTAAAAACTTTAGTAACTGAAATTCGATTCGACAAGAATACTTTTTTAAATAAAATTGCTTATTTTAAAAATGTATTATTGAATTTCCTTAAGTTATTAGAGGGCTAGTAGTCTTCTGCTCACCAGATGTCACTAGTGACAAATTGACATTAAGGTGAAGTTTTTGTTACACAATGTCATTTAGTTGAGAAATTATATGTATTATGATGTATTATATTAATTCCCAAAACAATACCTCAGTGGCTTACTCATCATTTTTTTGCACATTATTTAACTCTTTTTCTGTTGCTCTTACTTAATAAATATCTGTGATTTGATTTATTTACTTTTAATGTAAATAATATAAAATATAACTAATAATTATGAAAGGAATATTAACTAAATTTTTTAAATTTTATTATTTATTTTATATTTAAAATTAATTAAATTTTCCGAACAAATTAACTTCCCTGCTATGAAATCTGTCAAATATTACACCTCAATTTTGTAGGGCGCTGCCCTGGAGGCAGAAAAAGTCGTATTATAGATCGATAAGATGATAGATCAAATGAAATTCTCACTAAAGTTAGCCCTCCGAATTTTTTTTACAAATATCGTTAATTCGTGGTTTGTTTTTGATTGTTCTCTATCAGTAATTGTTTGTTCGTTAATAATTTATTTATAAAAAATAATTAAAAATCTGCCTTATAGTTAGTTTCCCCTACTCCAATTTATAATTTATTTCCTTATTATTGGTCTTTTTGTATTCATTAATGTTTGTTCTTTGATAAAATGTGTTTGTTCTATCAAAAATATATCTATTTTTGGTTTAATTAACATTTTTTAGCGACGTAAACCAATAGCAACTTGTTTTACTGTTCCTGAACAATATTTGTTTATAGAATTAGATATTCGTGACAGTCAAAGTAAGGTTAAAATGTGGAAGTTGAAAGAACTTCCTATTCATTTGAACTTAAGACTTCTAAATGATGATAGATCCGAAACTAATCTACGATATCGGTTAACTTTAGTGAGCCTAGTATTCTATGAATGAGCCCAAATGAAATGAACTTACACTATTGTTTCTATCGATGTTTGCCATCTAGTGGCGAATAGCGCATCATAGTTTAAACATCTCACGCCATCTATGGATACTTAACAACTTTAAACATTTAAAACATAAAATCATTATAATTAATATCATCCTTATTCATATATTTTAATCCATATAAGATTTTCTAAAAGTTGTTGATTATGTAGTTGACAACGCGTTTTCGTTTAAATATTACCAACATTGAGTTACAGATTTAGGCTCAACTGTCGTCTGTCATTACAGATCCTCTTAGTAGTCTGTGGTTGATGTTGTCAATTGTCATTATTCTCTAGTATATAGGCAGTAATCTATGGTCATTATCATACGTCAAACCGAGACTTACATTTGAGGTTATGTTTTAGGAAGGAAAACTTTACTAATTTAAATATAATTAGTCTAAGGTTAGTTACATAGTGCATATAATAAATAAATGTCTTCCTTGTGATTTAAAAAAAATTATAACTCGCTCAACCTTGGCCTAACCTAATTTAATATTTTCATTTTAGATGAATCTTATAAGAAGAGGTATATCTCTTTTAACCAGGGGAATTAAGACGCAATGCACTCAAATATCAGGTATTTTTTTAGATTATAACCTTTTATTCTACATTTTTATTATATGTTTATATGTAGTTTTTTTAAAATATAAAACGATAATTTGAAATAAAAATTGTTTGTAGTATGTATTAATATTTGATTTTCTTTTATAATTATGGCCAGATTTTGAAATGAAAGAACAGTTTGGTCTATATCAAAAAGTAATCAGTATTTTAGAAATATTTTGACTCAATAAATATATGCTCTTCATTGTTTCCGTTCAATGTTTACTTTTATGTTTCATGTCCTTAGCATGTTATGGATCCCCTCTGATGTTAAGAATTGGCTTCATGGAAGTTACTTTTACTTGTAGAACATTTATCTAATTCATAGCCAAGAAAGAGTAGAAATTATTTTGTACAGTTATTTCTTATGTTTATGCGAACACTACACATTGATTAAAACTACTTCTATGGATTTTAGGGCATTTGATTTATTTGATTTTTCATTCCCAATGTTTTGGGTGCCTTCCAGCACCCATGGTCACTGGACACTGAGGTGACTGTCATCCCAATGTCAGTGTAAACCCGGAGTACCTTCAGCCTTTTAATTATTATTTATGGTTCGATCTTTGCAAAATAAACTCACTGTATCCTGAAGTCTTGCTGTGGTATCCTTGGGCTTAGTTTTAATTTTATTAATTTCAGGATCCCAAGCAGGTGGCAGTACCCAGCCTCCTTCTCTTTTAAAATTAGGATGTCTTTAATTTCAATAGCCTCACATATCCTTGGTAGAATTCTATGTTCTTTCGCAAGAATTTGTGGTCTATCAAATCTGATGTAATGGTCATCTGAAATATGATCACAAACTGCAGACTTCCCGGAATGTTGATGCTTCATGTCAACTAAATGTTCTTTTATGCGGGTTCTAATTGGTCTTTTTGTTTGTCCATATATGGGAGACCACATTCACAGCAATAACCAAAATTTTTTTGATCCTATTTAATGTCTAACAAGCTTCTTAGAACATCCTTAAGAAATTGAAAATGTGATAAAGTGAATAGGTCAATATATAAAAAATACATGTTAATGTTACATGCTTTCATAATGAGTCTTAAAGGGGTGGTTCACCTGCATTAGTTTTGCATAAATTAAAGGCAAACAATTTATGTGTGTATATATCTCTGTCTTGAGAACACTAGGGGCACAAATATATATATATATATATATATATATATATATATATATATATATATATATATATATATATATATATATATATATATATTGTTAAGTAGTTCATTACAACCTAAATAATTCATCTAATAATATCTAAATATTATTTTGTATACCTAACAGGATTTGATCAAAGTATATTCTTATTCTTTTTAAAATTTTAATTGAAAACTTTTTAATAAGATGCAATAAATGATCTAGCCTGGAAACATTTATAATTTATAAAGCAAAGGAAACATTAACGATTCTAGAAGCTCAATATATTTTTATTATAATAGAGATAATGGTTACAAAAACAAAAAAAGCAATGTAAGTGGTGAATCATATTAAGAACACATCCTCTGGTGAATGTAAAATTTTTGAACCATTGATATATATGTTCTAATAATATCCGAGGACAGGTGACAGCATCAATGGTGTTCACATTGAGTACCATCCATCCATCCATAACATCCTCTGTTGCTGAACATAGGCCACTTATAGATTTTGACATGGTTGACACGCTTGGCAATAGGGTATGCAACAGCAGTTTTTATATTTTTTCAGGAAGATGATGCTGCCTATTTATTGTTTCACTTTCCCGCTGTGCCTCTTGCGACACCCGCGGGACGATATGAGGTAGTGGTTACTCTTACACCACCACTACACGGTTCACATTAGCATGTAAATATAAATTCAAAATTTGAGTCATGTTGGTCTGTCACTTACATATCCCAAGTTTATGTGTGACTTATAACAAAAAAGTATATTATGTACCAATCTTTTACTTGCCTGACATGTTGATCTTAACTACTTAATAGGTAGTATAATATCAAATATATGTCTACGTGTAGTGTTAACAATAATAGCAAGATTAGGTGGAATCAAATCTAATATGAATGCAGTAATTGTAGTAACGAAAATCAAATAAATTACAGTTTTCTTTGAGTACGTCAACTTTTTACTTGTGGTAGAGCCACATTGCAGCTATATTATGGTTGTAGCATGAATAGGTCGGCCCGACTGGGGAAAGACCACACTCTCACAGAATACCAGCGTAAAATGGCAGTTTAATGTTGCTGTGTTTCATATGGTGAGAGTAGAAAACTGGAGACATGTTTTACTGGAATCCAGGCATTCCATATTAGTCCTCAGGGGTGACAACGCATCTTTTGATTCTTAATCGAGGTTTAATGTAGATGTCTATAGGCGAAAATTTATCCGATTGATTCCGCCCGATTTATTGAAAATGGGCCAAATTAGGAGTACCCTTAACCAACGAGCATGTATGCGTAGGTATATGTATGTGTAGGAGGCGAGAAAGGTGTGTCAGGATCGTGCCAAATGGAAGTCTGTAGTCTCTGCCTACCCCTCAGGGTGACAGTCGTGAATGTTTATGTTATGTTTTGTCTATAGGCCACAGGTTACCATCACCATCAGGTGGCCTGTGTGCTTGTGTCACCCTTATTCTATAAAAAAAATCTCTATATATAACAATCAATTGCTGTCCGTTAGTCCCGCTAACAAACCAGAATACAACTTGAACGACTTCGATGACATTTTTTGGCTGCGATTGAGGGGGTCCCTGGATTGTTTCGATTTACAACTGGACCCGGTAGGTAACGCTATTGTCGAGATCCAGAAATCACCCGTACCTCAAAAATAAAATTGAAGTGTCCATCTGTAATATCGAAGTAATTGCTTTATATTGAGCTGTCAGAGTTATTTGCATGTTATTAGGAATAACCCTTTTTTAAAGTTTTGTCTGTCTGTTTGTGCAGGTTAGTCTTCGGAATGGCTGAACCAATTGTAATAAAACTTCACGAACAAATAGCGAGCAATGCCATTACTGATCTAGGCTATAGTTTAAAATAAGGTTGTTAAGGAGTATGTTGGGGCTGACTGAGTGACTGTGAGAAATTGTGTGACGAGAGAAAATTATGATATTATGACCAGGATTAAGAAAGGAATGTTTTGGTGGTTTGGTCATGTAGATAGAATGAAAGGGGAAGGAGTGACAAAGTAAATTTGTTGCAGAAGTAAAAGGCTGAGTCGTAAGGTGAAAATTTATCGATCAAATTTGCGATATATTGTAACTACTGCCTCTTTGGTCTAGCGGTTGTAGTAGTGCGATTGCTGATTATAAGGTCCTAGTCCTAAGTCCAAAAAATCAATTGTTGAGTTTTTCTCTCAAGAAATTCTCAGTAGTTGCCCGGAGTCAGGAAGTTGGCGGTGTCTCACCCCCGTACCTCGGAAAGCACGTAAAGCCGTTGGTCCTGCGCCTGATCTCTCTACGGTCGTGTCGGTTTACCTTCCCATCGGATTATGAGAGTGAGGGAATAGAGATTGCACATGTGCTTGCGCATACACTTAGGGACTATAGTCCTGTCCTGCGCCGTTAGCTAGCCTCCGTTGAGGTAGAACGCCGTGGCCGAAATTCGGTCTGGAGAACATTATTATTATTATATTGTAAATGGGCCAAATTAGAAGTACCCCTAACTGATAAGCATGTATGCGTAGGTAATCGTATATGGATGTGGAGTAGACGAGAGAGGTGTTTCAGGATTGTGCCAAATGGAAGTCTGTAGTCTCTGTCTACCCCTCTGGGTGCAAGCGTGTTTATGTTATGCTATATTTTATCCACAAAACTTTTTTTTTATTTGAAATAACGAAAATTGATATGTGGTCTTTAATTATCATATATCTAAATAACGCCACATTAATAGATCTTACCAAGACAAAAATATGGCGGAACGCTAATTATAAATTCAAATTGAAAATATATTTTTGAAATCGAAAATTTACCGCAACATTTAGCGGGTGCTTCGGCCCATTGTTTGTCATTTGCACTCGTTCGCTTACATACAATTTTACATAGGAAACCAACAGCTTTGAATAACTGTCAACGTAGCGGGCATGTCACTTTGCGATGCGACATCAACATCTGCATCATAAATGGCAGCTGCCTGCACCAAGGATACGCGATTGTGCGTATTATTCATATTGATAGTGTGACTATTTTGGCGTGGCTGATCTGTGTGGTCAAGGTATTAGCGAGGGATTGTTATATCGCGCCTGTATTTTGCGTGGAACCCTTCCGCGTGGACCCGGATTATGTCCTTTGGGAGTGGTAACGTCGGCAAAAATATTCAACGTGATTTCGGATATTATTTCTCTTTTATATTTGTCATTTAAGTCATAGAATAAAATATAGCTTAAACCGCTCCTGGAACTGCTCTTTATGAGTTCGTGAAGTTTTATCGAAATCGGTTCAATCATTCCGAACATAAGCCCGGACCATGACTAATATAGCGATGCATAACTGCGCTATATAAGGCAGTTATATCGCTATATATATTATATATATATATATATATATATATATATATATATATATATATATACTATATATATATATATATATATATATATAATATATATATGTGTGTGACCTTACCTGATGGTAAGTGGATGTTGTGGCCCATAGACATCTACATTTTATTCTCGATTAAGAATCAAAATGCAGATGCATTGTCACCCCTGAGGACTGAGATGGAATGTTTCGTTTCCACTTAAAAAAGGTCTCGAGATCTCTACACTCACCATACGAAACACAGCAGTATTAAGCTGCTATTTTACGCAGGTATTCTGTGAGTACGTGGTTCTGGCCCGGTCGAGCCGACACATTCGTGCTATAACCATAATATAGCTGCAGTGTGACTCTACCACGTATATATGTATAGTGCATTTTAAAGCTTAGATAATACATATACACTGAGAGTTAAAAGTGAGAGTAAAAAAACAAAAATATTTTATCAATTACAG